CATTAAGCGAGGACTACCTATAATGGTGGTGCATCCTATTTCATCCCCTCTCTCTTTTTCTTCCATGCCTCACTTCGCTTTGCTTTTCCTACAGTGGCAGAGATAAAGCAAAAAGCGTTGCTGAGGTACAACCAAATCAGGGTAAGTCATCCATTTTTATTTTTTTTAAGTTGGTCGCCTAGGGCAAGTTGCAGTTGGTCACCGGGTAATTAAGGTGGGAAGGTCTTCAAAAATTGGTCTTTTTTTTTTTTTTTCTGAAGGCTACAAAGGAAGGTGGAGTTCAAATTAAATTTATGTTTGCGAATCCTAATTTGAGAGTGGATTGGATCGAATGAGTTCAAAAGCATCTGGGTGGGAATTCCTGCTGTTTGGTTAAAGCGTAAGAACTATAGAGAAATGCGGGGTGGGGGGGGACTACAGAGTATTAGATAAGGATTAAATTGAAAAATCAGAATTGCTGGCTTTGGAAAATGGAAGCTACACCTCCAAGTTAAAGTACAGTGCTAGATTTGCATCGTGGGCTCAGAAGGATCGCTCAGCATCCTGTTTCCAGCGCTGGCTAGTCGGAAGCTGCCAGAGACCTCATAAGCAGATAATGAAGATAATGATAATCAGCAGCATCGGCTGTTCAGAGATAGACTGTTACTGCATGTGAAGGTTCCACTGTTTTACTCTGATCGTCAAAGAGGCGATAGTAGCAAACTCATTTTTTGTGGGTAGGCGCTTTTCTTTTTAATTTATTGTGCCTTCAAGTCAGTTTTTGACTCCTGGCGACTGCCTGGACAGGTCCCTGCAGTTTTCTTGGCAAAGTTTTTTGGAAGTGGTTTGCCATGGCTTGCTTCCTGGGTCTGAGAGTCACCCAGCTGGCTTCATGCCTAAGCAGGACTAGAACTCATGGTCCCCTGGCTTCTAGTCCAGCACCATCAACACCACACCCAGCTGGCTCTCACTGCCTTCAAGCCAAGTCAATATGACTCCTGGCGGCTGCCTGGACAGGTCCCTGCAGTTTTCTTGGCAAGATTTTGGAAGGGGTTTGCCATTGCCTCCTTCCTGGGGCTGAGAGAGAGGGACTGGCCCAAGGTCACCCAGCTGGCTTCATGCCCAAGGCAGGATTAGAACTCGCGGTCTCCCAGTTTCTAACCTGATGCCCTAACCACCACACCAAACTGGCTCTCATGGAGATGCTTACGTAGGCAAAATGGTCCCTTCTACACATAAGGTGGTACTAAGAGGCTGAAACTTGGCAAAGAGGCTACACATTTCTTTAGGAAAAAGAAACATTGGGCAGGGGGACCCAAAGTAAGGCTTTTCATAGCCATAAAGCATTAAAAGTTGGAGTGAAAACCAACAACCGACTACTTTATATTTTAGGCCTGGCTACCTGGCTGGGTAAATCTTTGAATAAGAATATTCCACACAACATTTTGCTACCAGTCTCCATTTGGAACAACCAGTGGTCATGAATGCATCGTCTCATTCCTGAATAGCTTTGCCCCCTTCAGCGTTTTTCACTGGGTTGACTCAATATTCTAGATGCCCAAAATGGGGAGGGCAGAGGGGGATGGAAATCAAGGTAGAAATTGCAGTTTTCCTAATGATGCATTCTGATATCAGTCATTTTTTTTCACTTTTAGGTCTTCTCAGTTAGAAAGCTGCCGTTTTAATATGCAGTGCATTCAGCATCTGTCTGTTGTAAATTATTGGGTATAATGGAGTTTATTCTTAGGAAAACCTACATACCGTACGCAAATCTAAAGACCTCCAGATGTGTTTGGATACGGCATCTATCATCCTCAGCCAATCTGACTGCTGTAATGGGGTGATGGGAGCTGTAATCCAAAACATTTGGATGGTGTCAGCCCGGGGAAGGCTAGTGACCTAATTTTGCAGCCCAACTTAACTTATTTCTTTTATTTTTGCCCTGACTTTCCACCCAGATGCACAGCCAGCGAGTTTACTCCAAGGCCAAGTTCTATGACACTGCTGCATTTTAAAAAGTCACAAAGCTTTCTTTTTTCGTCTGACTTAACCTAATTTCAAAACTTCTTCTGATTCCCAAAGACAGACCAAGGCAAAGTAAATTTGAGAGGTCTGTTGCCCTGGGCTGCAATCCAGATGCAGGATTGTAAGGCGCTTCCAGCAGCCAGTAAGACGTGTGGATGAGAAGGCATCTTCCGTCACTCCTATCTTAAGTTGCGCGCTGTGCTTAGAAGTACCCACAGATAAGGCTATCCCAGAGCCTCTGTTTTTCATGCAGAAGGCACATTTCTATCTCTTTTCTTCCTCAGGGCCAAGGACCAGAAAGGTTGGTCTCTGGATCGGATGACTTTACCTTGTTTCTGTGGCTCCCTGCAGAAGATAAGAAGCCGCTGAAAAGGATGACCGGCCATCAAGCGCTGATCAATCAAGTTCTCTTTTCGCCAGACACCCGCACCATCGCCAGTGCATCCTTCGACAAGTCAATCAAGCTCTGGGATGGAAGGACCGGGAAGTAGGTTGAACGTTTTGTCCTGGAAAGTCCTGGGGATCTGCAGAATATTCCTTCCTTCCTCTGGACTACTTCAGTCCAGCTGTGGCAAGGCTGATGCTGTGGTTTTCTGGAGGGCGTTTCTGGAGCAGGAAGTAACTTATGGTGTTCAGGAGATGCTCTCGTCTGGGAACGGCTGTTTTGCACCTACTTACTTGGGACTTCAGGCAAAGAAAAGCCTTTGCCATTGCCTCCCACCCAAACCTTCTACTTGGAGAGGCCAAGGATCAAACCACAGGATACAAAACTGGTGCTTCATCCAGAGTAATAAGTCTCATGTAAGGGTAGACAGGCGGGCATCCCCAACAACTGCTTTTTGGGAGTCTGACCGTGTCCACAGCACCCCAAAGCGCTTCCTATTCCAGAAGATTTATTTACATAAAATAATCACATACCACTGCAACATCTAGAGCCCTGTTTCCCAACCATGGCCATTTCCAGATGTGCAAACTTCAAATCTCAGAATTCCACAGCCAGCACAGCCATTGATGAGAATTCTGGGAGTTGAAGTCCAAACGTTCCAGGGTTCTATGGAATGTTCCAGAATTCCACGGAATGTTCTAGAGTTCCGTGAAATGTTCCACACGTCCCTGCGCACAACAGAAATGTAATAGGAAAATGAAAAGAGGCAGACGGGGAAATGAGTGGGGCGGGGAATTCGCACCATAACTGGGCTTTTCTGACACCAGGTATCTGACCTCCCTGCGGGGACACGTCTCCGCGGTGTACCAGATCGCGTGGTCGGCTGACAGCCGTCTGCTGGTCAGCGGAAGCAGCGACAGCACGCTCAAAGTGTGGGACACCAAGACGCAGAAGTTGACCGTTGACCTGCCTGGACATGCTGATGAGGTATGGCCCGGTCCCACCTTGGACTTCCTCGGGGCCCTTTCAGCAGCATAAGCTGGCTGGGAGGATGATGGGATTTGTGGTCATCTAGAGCAGTGTTTCTCAACTCAGCAACTTCAAGATATATCAACTTCAACTTCCAAAGTTCCTCAGCCAGCATCTTTTAGATGTGTGGAGTCCACCCATCTCAAAGCCTGCTGGCTGGGGAATTCTGGGAGTGGAAGTCCACCCAACTTAAAATTGCTGAGGTTGAGAAACACTGATCTAGAGAGCAACAGGTGGGGGTAGGCTTGTGTAGACTGTATAGTGTTGTATCAAGCATTCTTTTAAATGTTTCAGCAGGCTGTTTTTCCAGATGGCCAGTCAGCAACTATTGAGTGATTTAAATTTTCTAGTCCTCAAGATGGGCTTGAAATTCCATAAATGACGCCCGAGAGAATCATATCTGTTTTTTCCCCTTGTTGGTGGTGTTCAGGTTAAAGTGGTTTCAACCTTTTCACTGTGAGTGTTGATCTGCCTTTGTGATATTCCCTTCCCAGGTGTTTGCAGTCGACTGGAGTCCCGATGGCCAACGGGTAGCAAGTGGAGGGAAGGACAAATGTCTCAGAATGTAAGCTTTTCTTCCCCTTCTCCCCCTCGTTTTATTCAGGAGGGTCAGGCTCAAGTGTCACCAGAGGCTGACAGCCTCCCCCATTTTCCTATGCCTGGAATCCTTGCCCACATAGCCATATGCACGTTTAATACACAATAATAACCTGGGGTTATTGTCTCTCCTGTCTTTTGCTGAAATGAAAGTAAAGCTCAGGGAAACCAGCAGGGAGCGATGCTATTATGGTTGTTATTATTTACATCTTGGTTTCCCTGGGGAGATGATGGCCACACACACAGCCGACCTCCTTGGGGACTTGGAGGGAGGCCCCCAGTTCTGGTCCTCGCCACAACGCTTGCTCAGCTGAAGGACCGACTCAGTGGTGATGCTCAGAACAAACCGGGAAGTCCTTCAGTCTAATGTTGGTCTCATGCATCCTGTGAAGCCCTGGTTTGCCGGCTATAACCACAGTTGGCTGGTTTGCACAGGGCAGGAATTCATCGCCAAAGCTATCCGCGATGGCTTGGGGTGGCCTGGGAACCCAATACGGAGCGCAGCTCATGGCTAAAAAGCAAATAAGATTGGTAAGGCTGAAAGGGGCCTGCTGTTGGTTAGAGGGCAGCCGTGGGGTGACGAACGGGAAGTCCAGCTTCCTGCCCCGACGAGCTGCTTCCCATTGCCAGTGACGTTAGAGAAACGGGAAGACAATGGAGAGAAGACGCCTCAGAAGGGCAAAGAATGGGCACGGATGGCCCTGTGCTGGTAGCTGTTTTAGATGGGGGCCTTCATGGATTTTCAGCACAGAACCCCCCCCAATTAAAAAGTCCATAGGAGTTGGGTGGCTAATAAACTCCTTAAAAATTAAAAAAAGGAAAAGGAAAAACCCTTGAAAAATTAAATGGCCTCTGTGGCTACCCTGGGCTCAAGTCCACCCTTCAGCCATGGAGGCTTATGAGGGACTTGAGGCCAATTTTTCTCTCTCTCTGCCCAACCTCCCTCACACGGCTGTTGTTCTGGAGATGATCCAATTAAGAGAGATCCCTACGTAAGCCACCTTGAGCTCCTTTTTTTTTAAAAAAAAAAAGTCATTTGGCACAATCTAGGAGGGTAAGTGCCCTCACCCCAGTGGATAGAGAAGAGGGTGTTACAGGATGGTGTGCCAAGGGTAACAGAGCCGAGTCCCTTTGGGTAGACCTGGGTGGACAATGCGCTTCCTGGAAGTTGGGTTTAAACCCCATTTCAGCTCCTCAAAGCAGCGTTTCTCACCCCTTGCCCCCCCCGCAGGGAAGCGGCCTGCACCCTCCCCACCACCAACCCCCCCCCCCCCACCTGCCCCGGTGTTGGATGGGAGGGCTGGCAC